CCCCAAGCGGAGATCTAAGTCGAGCAAGGTTTAAGCCACCGGCCGATTCAGTGCTAATGATCATTCAATCCATTCCAAGCCACGGGATAAATCGTCTCTCATTTGGGGGGGGGGGTTTGGCATACGGCTGTGAGGGCGAGGGCGAGGATTTGCCCGGCGGTGAGGCTCAACAGCGCCATGTTAAGCTCGGGACGAGTGCTGGTAGTGAGATTGTAAAATCTGATGTTTAGGAGTTCCCACAAGGATACGATGTTCCACTGTCCTTATTTGTGGGATTTGGTACGGTGAGGTGGTTGATGAGAACGGGAGGTTGGAGATTCTCGGGGTGGGTGGCGGTTTTGTCCGTCGTGTTTCGTGGAACCGCCAGGTGTTGCATTTGAGCCGTGTTCGTGTTCGGTCTCGGTTATTTTCCCAAGATCTCATTCATCCCTCCTGAAACCTGAGATCTTCTGGACAAGGGCCACCAATCATCATTTGTTGCGATCCTAAGTAACTCCGAGTTTGGGTATCTGCGTACTTACTAGTACCACGCCCGTGATCTCTACCACCTACCTACTTAATACATCTATTACCAGAGTTACTTATATTATTATTCATACTCCGCTATGCCCTAGGGCGTGCCGGACCCTCAGCTATTTAGTGTACAGGAATACCGTGTCCTCCCGGGCCGGGTGAGAAACCCATACCAACAACCAAGGAACGAAGCGTTCTGGTGAGTCTGCGTATACAAAGAGAGGAGGCCTCCTGGCCTCCGAACGGGGGCGCTTCAGGCCGCCGCTTCCAGCTCGAGCCTCCTGGCTAAGCTGTACATCGGCAGCTTCCCCGAGTCCATCATCCAGTCAAGGACTCTCCTCGCGAGCCGTGCAGTCGTGGGATTGATGCCGTGTAGAACAGAGTAAAAGTCCCGGCGTGTCCGAATTCCAGTTCTCTCCCATCTTCGAGTCAACGGTGGGGCCAAACACCACACTACCAGGTGTTCGAGCAGTCTCTCGTCCCTCGCCACACTCGCAGGCAGGAGTCAGAACCTCCGGGACTCCCCGTGTAAACAAGAAGTCCCGTAAGCCTATTGCTCCCGTCCGGATTTGAATCAGCAGTGAGCTCTTCGCCTTGCTGAGACCGTCGTGCCACCTTAGGGTTCCGTTCCGAAATCACGAATTAATATATGATAGGTAACTCAAGATCAAATTGCAAGCATGCCCTAGTCGAGCCACGGTCGGTTAAGATGAAGATGGGGCTCGAGGTTGACGAACTATTCAAGCTTACATGTAGGAAAGGTTCAGGTTGACAATGAAATACCTCGTTCTTCTTTTCATGGTTCATGTCAGCGACTTTGGCTCAGCACTGAGACCGCGACCAATCTACCGGGAATGGGACGCAAGGAAAGAAGAACTCTGGGGACCTGGGCAAACTGAAGAGGATGAGTGCTTTTGGGACGGTGCCCATCACAGGACGTCCTTCCAACATTTTCCATTATAGGTAAAATCTCCCTCCAGCCTGTTTTCTTCTGGCAAAGGATCAGCCAATGTGGTCAGCGGGAAGAAAGTCACCCCATGCCGGAAATCATGCGGCTTTCTACTTTGTACAGAGAAATGGTTCAGTGTTCAGTTTTGGGACCAACCGGTTCTTAAAACATATACGCAACGGACTGAATTCCACCATGGAGGACCTCGACCCTATGGCTATTCGTACGCTTGTGTAGACTCTAATTAAAGCACCTTGCCCAGTGGGTTAACTACAAATGGAAGATCGGGGGGAAGGATAGGGGGTCGAATACCAAGGAGGTGTGTCTGAAACTGGCCTGGCAGGCCCGGTGGGAACAACAGAGAGCTAGTCAACAAAGTACTACTCGACAGAGGGTATTAAACAGGAGGATAGCCGACGAAGACCCCCCAGCCCTCTTATTTACCGACAAAGCTCTAATGAGACACGAAGGTCTTACAAAGGCGCAGAGCTCCCTCCTTTCCCAGGCCCGTATCGGGGATATAGGCCTCCGGGACTACCTGTTCAGGGTGAAAGTCCCGGAGGTCCGCACCCCCTATTGCGAGTGCGGGAGAGGCAGGGAGACGGTGGAGCACTTGGTGGTTTGGTGCCCCGACCCGCCGTTACAAAGGCCGGTGGAATCGGCAGAGAGATTCGGTCACATCGGGACCTACAAACCGGAATACGGGAGTAGGTGCCCGGAGCAGAAGATTTGTTAGAAGTCCTTGGCTAGCTGATGGACTCTGGCCGGCTACTGGAGTATAGGCCTGGCCAGAAGGCTGGAGCTAGAAACAGTGGATGGAGA